TGCCTGAGTATTAAGACTGGCTGCTCCTCTCGTGCCTAGATATGTAAATATTCACGCTATGTCCTGTCTGCCTTGAAAATATTAATAAGACTGGTTGCTCTTGTGCCTGATCATGCAAAATTTCACGCTTATGTCTTGTCTGCCTTGAAAATCTGCCTTTCATCTCACAAAACGCGAAGTCTCAACAAGAAATATGCTCATATTCTCAATATGTCAACAACACAAGACACGTAAACATCGACAGAACACAAAATGTAGGTAGTATCACATAGCCTTTCTCCTCCTAGAATTGAGTTAGTGTTCGCGCTTGCAAATAATAAACACTCAAAATCACAAACCTCTTTTGAGAACAGCCACCTATGCTATCAGCCTGTGCCAAACGTGTCATCTGCTGGCGTATGCACTTTGTCTTCCTAACAGCAGGAACAACTACGTCATCGGCTTGCACAGCGGAGCCCGATGCACTACCAACATCAGAAGGGAGGAGCGCCAGCTGTTCTGAAACCTGGGCAACCTCAACAGTGGAGAGGATACTACTGGTGGTGCCAAAACCTGAGCTGTTCCAGCAGCTGTAACCACTGGAGGATCAGGCGGGTATGTAGAGGAACTGAAGTTATACTTTTCCGTTGATACCGGGAAGGGGGCAAAAGACGGTAATGGGGTGGCAATAGCAGATGTACTGCGGAAGCGAAGGCGAGGGGGTGTCATGAGGCCAGACGTGGATGTACTGTACATCTGTTTCCTCCATGAGGTAATGGGAGTTTCCGGCATTGGACTGGATGATAAGGTAAGATCTGGCAATGAGTCTCCCATAGTGGACGCTGGGGTGGTTGCACCGGATGATAAGGAGTGGGCAGGTAAAATGAAATTGAAGTTGGATGCCGGGGTGCTGGGTACACTGGTGTCATAGGGATCAAAAGCCATGGTGTCGGTGGTAAAGCCAGCGGGTATTTGATTGTCAAAGGTAAGGCCGGCGCTTGTGTCTCCCATAGTGGATGCCGGTGTATTTTCGCTGGATGACAAGGAGCGGGCAGGTAAAGCGAAATCGTAGTTAGATGCTGATGTGCTGGTAAAGCTGGCGTCATATGGATTGAGGGACATGGAGGTGTCAGTGCCAAAGTTGGTGGACATTTCATTGTCAAAGGTAAGGCCAAGGGGGTTGCTGAAAGGCAGAGGTCCCTGCATCTGAGACGAGTCGACACCTCGCAGGGTGTCCGAGAGTGTGAGGGGGGCATGCAGGGCAGTTCCATGTGATGCTGGAGTCACGGTCGATGACGCACCCTCCAGTGACCCAGATCCTTCACCTGAGGGAGATGAAATCGCGGGTGGTAGACTGTTTGCAAGTGAAGTTGTGGGTGATAGACTGTTTGTGAGTGGGGCGACGACGTCCATGGCACGAGACTTTCTGACATGCTCGGCTATTGAATCCAATGAGTATGTGTGACCGACCATCAAACGGAAACGTTACTCACGAAACAGTGTTCCAACAAATTCCAAGTATGGATTGAGATGCTTCTCAATGAATTTTGGGGTGGCTTGCTTCCAATTGTGTCCATCTCCATTCACTCCTGTATGGTAACTAAGAAGTCTTGAGCATTCTGAAAATGAACGAGCGAATATGAGACGCACCTCATCGCATTTAGTTTGCCACCAAGATGAGGGTCAGGCCCAGCACCAATAACAGTCCATTCCCACCCTGTCATGTCCTTGATGACTTGCAAGAACTGCGCAATGGGAGCAGTACACTCCTGGAGAGTGCTGGTAATAATGTATAAGCAATGGGAAATTGGTGTACGGGCAAAAGCCGAAACTTACATTGCATACTGTTTATTGGTAGGTGCAGATTTTTCATTTTGCACATTAAGTGTGACTTTTGCTTTGTGCTCTTCTCAGACCTTCTCCTCACACAAAGCTTGGACTTCTGGCGGTGCGGCTTCGTGTGCTTCGCGTGTAAGTTTTCGAATAGCTGTCAATTTTTCCTGTTTAGTAACGAGCTCGCCGGACTTAATGGTGTCTTGAACCCGCTCTTTTACTTCCTCCTTATAGGCAATGGTCGAAAAGATCTCAGCAGGGGTATGAACCCGAGTTCCTTTTGCTTTGTTGGTTAACGTTTTCTGGATTACTCTAGTCACTGAGTTCACAGCGGAACGGCCACTTCGTTGGGACCTATAATTAAACCAGGTTCATATTTGCTGTTTTGAGAATATCAGTATGTACATCATCGATGAGGGCATCATGAGGGCAGTGCTTACCTGTCTCCGCTTCTGAAGTGCTGCCCCCAGAACTTTATTTTCCTCATCTGTACGGGGATCACTGGCAGGAGTATTTTTAAACACTACATCCTCTTCAGGCCATCTTTTGAACCATTCAAGGTATATTGGATCCCAGTATTGGGAAACCTTGGCCTGTAGCTGCGCTAACAGAAACCCACTATAGTACGTCTCAAGGAACACCTTTTGTTCAGGTGTGGTCCAGACTGTTCCTGCCGTCCTATCTGAGCTGAATTAATAATGATCACTCGATGAGACACAATTGTCACCGCTTGCCTTGGTGAGGTACACATTCTTTTGAATAGCAGCGTGATTTTAGGTTTTGTGCGGTCCTCGCAAGCCAAGCCTGAAAATTTAATGCTGACCACACATCTTCAACCAATCAGCAAGTGTATTCGCCGGATCGGAGTTGAAATCGCCTCGTAACTACTGCCGTCTGCTATTTTTTTACTCACACTCTACCCACCTCATTTGGAATGCAGAGCCCAAGGAACAACAATACGGCTTACCATTTTCCACCCCCATTAACATTCACCATAAATGAGCTGGCTGCAGCATTGAAGTTGATTAGGGATCAAAGCCGTAAATTTTATTTTCAACCATTCATCTGACGGCTCATTAGACCTTCTGCTGCAGACCAGGGATATGATGATGGCGACCCCCCAGCGTTCACATTGCGTGAGCTGGGAGGAGCATTGACGTTAATTAGTGACCAAAATGGTATGTTCAATATTTCAATTAATCTGAATCTCGGCTCATCACACTCCTGATCAATAGCCATATTTGCTGCACACGATGGACATGATTCAGCGGAGCTGCCAAGTCCACTGACTGAATATGGAGCATGTGAGGCATGCATTTTCCGGGAACACCGCCGCAATTGCTATGCTTGTGGTATAGCAATCACTTCGAGCCGCATTGCAACAGGCCTCTCCAAGTCGGATACTACCGGTACATTTTCATAGTGCTACCCCTGAGTTTACTGATTAATATAATCACTATAACCAGTCACTAACACCACACATTCCACCACTATTGCATCTGCAACAGAAAGTGAAGCTGCGCAGGAGAGAGGGAGCAACTTTTGTGACGTAGTTGTGCGATGTTCCTGTAGGGACTGATACATAGATTTCCAGTGCATGTTTTACATATATATATTGAGAGAATTGTGAATATCAAGCTTGGGGAGATGGATTAACAGCCGTCCCAAAGTCGTGATCTTTTGTTTGCTCCTGAGGTTTTTACTTGTACAATATGATTTCATTGAAGTTCAGTTCTATTGGGTCGCGAGTCTATAACATAGTGATATCGGGAGATTTCTGATACAGTAGCTCATTTTACCTGTCCACAAGATATAAATCAGACTGTTGAAACTATTGTATTTGCAGCTGCAATGAGACTTATGTGCTACAATTTAATGTGTCCCGAAGTGGTTGCTGAGGCATTACATGAAATCTAACTCGAGTGCGGAAGCTTACCTACGCCTTTTCACACATTCCAGTTGACTGACACCTTGCATGACTCGGAAATGCAAGTACAAAACAACTGAGCAGTCCCATCAAGCTCGTTTAAAATCCAAGAAAAAACACTATGCCAGGCAAGTCTAGTAATGTGGTTCATTCTTTGCGCATCCACTACTGAACTCACAATCAACAGGAATCGGCAGCAAGAACGTGTCAAATCCCGCACTCGCTGGCGTCGCCGGGTTGGAGCTTCAGATGTGAGTCAATCGTTTTTGGTTGATTTGTCAGATTTTAATACACACTGTTTGTAAGAGACACTCGAACTACTCAATCAGCTGGACGATATCTGGTTCAATTCTGGTTATGAACCAGGTTCCGATCTGTATCAACGATTGGAGTCTGAAGGATTGAATGCTGTCTGTGCTGCTGACCGTCAAGGATGGAATTCACTGAAGCCAGAATACGAGGATGACGTTCGCGAGGTATGCAAACTCTTGGAGAAAGCACATGGCTTATCCACGTCAGCTGGGAGCTTAGAGGGTCCTTATACCGAGCAACTACGAGTGGGGGTATGTTCGGTGACTCGCCTCTTACAGTTTCGCATCCAGGCATGTGAGCAAATGATCCAGAAGATGGACTTATGTGTAGACTCATATTTTGAAGCTCTTCGCAAAGGGACACTTGATTGGCAATTAGCGCTTAGCATTGGCAAGTGATTATTGTAGTCTATGTATTTTGCATCTAGTGTTGAACATCACGTGATCCCTGTGCGGTATGTTGTTGTGTATCCTCATTGTTCAAATGTTCAATGCTGTAGTCCTCATGGGAAAAAGATGCCGCGAGCACGACAAGCTTACATGTGACTGGTATGTTCTCAATGCAAAAAATCAGGCATCTCAGCAGCGAATGCAAAACACTACTCAGGCTGAGGATCCAGAAAAAAGTCAAGTCTCAACTCACAAACATCGATCTTACACTTTGAAGGGACCGGCACAGGTCTCGACTCAGACAGAGTACTTTGGTGCTCCAAGAGGCTCTCACACGGCACCACCACCATCTGCTTTACATACTTCAGATACTTTTGCCTTTGATTTTGAGGCTCTTCTGGACTCTAACGAAGACGACGTCTACAATCAACACTTGGCTGAAACATCACTCAAAGTGAAAGTTTCACAGCGGAATCGACATTTAGGAGTAAGTGAAGATGATTTATCTTGGATACAATTACTGACGTGTTGTTTTGAAGGATAACCCATTGTTGACTTGAATGGATGATCGGGATCATTTTCTTTTAGAACTCCTCCGTCTGGAGGGTCGTGGTGATTTCTTACTTCAGGAAGCATGTCGAGGTTCTGCATGTTGCATGAATGCCCCTGAATTTCGATGTGAGGATTGTCTTGGTACTGAGCTCTATTGCAAGGCGTGCACGGTAGAAAGGCATATAGAAAATCCAACCCACAGAATTGAGGTAGGTGGGAATCAGCAGTGCTCACTACTTCGCGCTGATTGACTTGCACAGTACTGGAACAGCCAACATTTCGAAGACACTAACCTGCGGGATCTTGGGCTGCAAGTTCAACTTGGACACCCTCCTGGTGAACATTGTTCTAACCCGTCATTGGTTCATAACGACTTCGTGGTTCTTGACATCAACGGAGTGCACAATATTCCACTCCACTTCTGCGAGTGTCAAACAGCTCAATCTTGTACGACGCAACTCCTTCGCATGTGTTGGTTCCCAGCAACTACACTGGATCCGAAGACTACCACAACATTTCGACTACTCCACCACTTCCACATTCTTTCGTTCGAATCAAAGGCCTCCACATTTGAGTATTGGCAAACGCTCGCATGCTTGACCAACAACACAGGCGTTAACCCACAAAAGGTAAGTTCTCAATTTGAATTGACTCATTCATTCCTAATAACAGCTTGCAACGGCTCACTCACAGGATCACTATAATGCGCTCTTACGGATGGTAAAGGAATGGCGAAACCTCACCCTACTCAAACGTTCAGGACGGGGCCATGACCCTGGTGGGGTTGAGGCTACACAACATGGTGCATGCGCAGTGCTATGTCCTGCTTGCCCCCAACCGGGCAAAAATCTTCCCAATGGCTGGGAAGATACACCGTTTGAGGAAAGGTATGTCGTGTATTGGTCTAGTCCACATGGCGTGTTCGCTCACGGAATGATCTAGATGGAAATATTCGTTATTTCTGGCGATTGATGCTAATTTTCGACTGGCGCGCAAAAATGTATCATCCGACAAGACTGACCCGGTCTTAACAAAGGCTGGGCATACTTCGTCGAAGAGAAGGCATTCAAGAAGTTTCTTCATGACACTGGCAAGCAGCCGCAAGAGGTGCGGCTCTAGCCATATCATACTCGCTCACCCACTTGTCATACAGAAAAGTAGTTGCGCGAGCCATAACGCTGTAAACTTGGCCGAGACTAAAAACTCTCGCGGTTTGGCAGCAACGGGGGCTGGCACTGTCGATTGTTCACGCCACAACATGAAGCGTCCTTGCGGCGTTGGCGATCTCCAGAAGGGCGAGAGGTAGGCGAGAGCTTTACTAATCATTGCACCACTCAACGTGTACTATAGGTATATTAATATGGACTATTTATTTTTCTCTACCCTGCAATACTCGAAGGATGTAGTCACGCTCAACGTGTCCTACGATATCGCGTGTCAATGGAGCAAGAATATATGGGATCGTATGGCTACATACCCACATCAAATGCATGTTGAACGCAGTACCAAGGAATTCGTGTTCCTCGTTCCTAAGTTCCATCTTCCCGCGCACATCGCATTCTGCCAAGTCACGTACTCACACAACCTTATCAAAGGGATGGGACGCACTGATGGGGAGGCACCGGAACGCGGGTGGGCGAACATCAACCCTGTAGCAACAAGCACTCGCGAGATGGGCCCTGGCTCACCGCGACACCCTCGATGATCACTTCGGAGATTTTAACTGGAAGAAAGTGACCAATTTTCGTGAGTGGAACCTACATCATGTGATCGGAATCTCTTACTAACATTTTGGCGTCAAGACATCAGTCTATTCCGAAAGCTCGTGGCAGCCATACCTCAACGTGATCAGCACCTCATCGACTTCAATGATTTCAATGATACATTAATTGCAGAACGACCAGAGGAAGTCGCTCGGTGGAAGCTGGCTATTGAAGGCTGGGAAGCCGATAGATCACAGACGAATCCCTTCGAGGTTACAACTACAAGTGCGTTAGTTTTTTTATGTTGATCTTATGTTTCTCATTCTTTCGCAGCTATGTCTCTCGCAGCGGTACGACTGCTCTCTCGCAGAAGGAAGCAGAAGACCTGGAACACGGCCTCAACTACTCACTGCATATGGAGGTATCGCCAAGCGTTCTCGTGTCATCGGGTATTGAAATAGAGGACCAGCAGTAAGATATTTTCGTTCCTTGCATCTTTATCCAATGTTTTTAGACGCCGGCTGGAAAGAGAGTATGCTGCCTTGGGACCTCACTCAACGGACCTTCAGCTTACAAAATTGCAAGAACGGAGCAATGCGCTACAACGCAAAATCGAGCAATGGTGCAAGGTCCAGGTATTATACATTCCTACGGTCGTCCGTGTTCGCGCATCCGATACAGCTAGTACCATAAGCTCACGGGAAGAAAAACCCTACGAGGTCAAACTGTGGTTGCCGTCCCAGCTCAAAAGGGCTTCAAACGATTTTGTGAGGAACGTCTGTGCAGATATGAATGGGAGCTGACAGGCACAAGCATATGATGCTCTCGATGACCTCCGTCGACACCTCCGACTGCGCAGCCACCTATACAAGTTCAAAGCCAATCAATGTGTGGCCAACGGGCCAATACACGTGCAGCGGGAGTTCTCGCTAAGGTGGAGCTTAGCATCAAGACAGATGCAGAGCGGTACCGTCGGGCCTGGACTGCGCTAGTTATCCTTGGCGACATTTTGCACGAACAAAGCTGGAGAGATGAACTACTCAAGCTAGAACCTGAGCATGTTCGGGGAATGTCTGATGGCTATGTAGGCCAATCCGAAGGTAATCAACTCTATCATGGATTTGGAAGGCACGCGGCGTCACTACTGGAGACAGGGAAGGAGAGCGTTCTTGCTGATGGTAAGAAATCGTCTATTAGATTGATACGAGCTAAAATGCTATCACACAGCGCTACGTGTCGAGTGGTGTAAATCTCGGGCGCGCACACATCGTTGGATAGAAGAGGTAGAACTTCTCCAGGAGGAGATGCGGCGTGTGCACGTTCTTCGACTGGCATGCAGCGTGGTGGAGGGATCAGGCAAGCCGGAGGATCGGGTTGGAAGGTGCAGAGTTAGAAGGCCTTGAAGCATATGCGAAGCGCCAGGCGGCCCTTCGGATCACGATGCGGGACAACTGCCTAAGAAAATGGTGTGCAGTTCCTGCGGCGAGCTTACCCCGGCAGTAGCGGTGCCCTGAATACAAGTAGGATAACATATCTATTCGCAAGGCTTCTTTTTCCGATGTGTGGGGTAGCGCAATATATATCAGTGATTGCATCAGTCTCCAATTTTAGAAGGATGTAAGTAGCGCATATATAATCTTTGATTGGCAAGTCTCCGAGATCGCGATCGTAGAAGGATGCAGCCAGGAACATGGAAAGAGAAGATCCGGGATTATGCATTACGGAGAACACTACTATACATAGAGTCGAGGGGATTATGCATAATGTG